GGCACCGCAGCGCCCCCAGCGGCGCGGCGGCCACAGCGCCGGCAGGCAGCGCTGCGGGACCCGGGGGGGCTGTGTGCGAGGGACAGACAGACACAGACAGACAGCTGAGGCCAGGGCCGTGCTTTTTCGGATTAGGACATTTATTTTCTCCGAGAGGCAGGTCTGGTACATCATCTTCGACTTTTTTTTGGCAAACGCGATAAAAATAATCAAGGGAAGTTTATCAAGGTGGTGATTTCCATCTTCTTTTGACCCCCATTTGTGAGCTCCATCTTTAAGGCTTGAACGTTTCAGTTCGTCGTGTGAATGGCTGACGTGCTACACGAATATTTACAGTCACTAGGAATTATATAAAATACAAGCGTTTTATTATTTTTGAGTTCAACAGTATTGCTTAGAAATACAAAATACAGCCATGTCTGGAATACTGAAGGTTTCATAAAAGCAGCAAATTCTCTCCCATTTCATCTTAACTGTCCAGAAAATTACTAAAATAAAAATATTTACCATATTACATTAGCCACAGATCTAGGAACATGACCACCAAGGCTTCAACCATATAACTCAAACATCAAAGCAAATGACAACTGGCAGGTGAGCACAACGTTGCTCAGGGCACCAGAGGAAGTTTGTGCTCTGTGTGATACAGGTTGTTTTTTTCTGGCCAAAAAAGAAAGAACTGTATTTAGACAGGAATTTAGAAGGCAGTCTGGCTTTGTGATGAACACATCGGTTCTTCTGTCGCTGCTAGTGCAGAACCACTTTGGTGACTCCTGATGCACATGGCAAAACAACCCTGTGCCAAGATGGTGCAATTCTTTCATTGTGATGATCTACACAGAAATATTACCATTTTCCATACATGTGCTTAAATACCCAAGTTCTAAATGCTACAGGTGAAATTTCAACCTCTGAAATGTACACTCAGTTTATTTTGTCACAGTAGGAACTGTGTGTACTTATACTTGGGTTGAATTTTGCTATAATTCAACTGTTCAATTATTTTTGGTCCCTACATGCAAAAAACCTACTTGGAGCATTTTTCCCCCTTTCCCTTTCACCTGTTTGTCAATAATAGATTTTTTAATTTATTTTTTTTTTCTTAGTGCATGACTTTTCAAGTAACAAGCCTATGAAAAATCTATAAACAGCTTAAAATATCAAGAAGACACTTAAAGGAAAACCATTTTCACAAAGATAATATTCTGCATTTTTTTGAAGACAATATAAAAAGAAATTGATAGTGTACAGGTTCTCAGTATTAAACAAAAAGAATTCCCATTGTATTCAAAAGTAGTTTCTCAGCATATGCAAACCGTGTATCTTCCCTTATTCAGAATACATTAATTTAGCCTATAAAAATACAATATGGACAAGTTTTTCTCATTCCCTGACATAAGTATTCACAATTTTGACACAAATATTGTAAACTTTTATTACATTCAAAATACATGTCTTAAATCTTTAGAATTTAAGTTCTGAGGTGTCAACAGTCAGAGCTCTTGGTCTACAGCAGAAGTTATTGCAGAGCCTTCACGCAGAAATAGCTTTCTGAACTTAAAAGAAACTTACTCTTCCCACCTCATTTTGTTGCTACCAGGAGGAAAAGAAAGGCTTCCTGCTATGAAAGGTCTGTGTGAACGCGTTGCTCAGCTGAACAATCCGGCCCTGGCTCCCGGTGCTGCTGCGCTCCACGACCACACGGGGCATCTGAACAAGCTGAAGGGGACTTTTCTCATCCTTCAACGCCTGAGTAAGGTTTAGTATCTGAAAGAGCAAAAGCAGGTAAGGTGAGGGGCACACAGATGAAACTGTGGCTAATGGGCTTAGAAATTTAAATGTTGCTCTTAAATGAATTCTGTAGAAGTCTGCATTGTCAAATAAATTTTTGAAAGATACTCAAATTAAATACCTCTACTTGACATTAATTTGGTAACATTATTACTTACTGCTGTTATCTTATTACACTTCTATTCTTTTCTTCAATATTTCATGCAATCCTCTCCAAATTTTCAGAAAGTGTTAGAGACAGAAATCTAAGAATGTCTTAAATTTAACATCTCCTAAAAGCATTTAATCTTTAATGAAAAAACCCTACAAGAATGCAATCAACATGTATTTAACATAGGATTTATCCATTTAGCTACAAGTTATTTTCATATCAGAAGATGCAAAGCCATATTATTAATGAACACCAAACCCAGTGCCAAGATCCAAATTCAGCCCTCAGCTCCCAGGCATGCTCATTAACTGCCCTAATAATTTACTCCACATTCAACATTATCCTGCTGA